AACATAATCTGTTTTACTAAAACTAATAGTTTACTAAAGCTAATGTTTTACTAAAGCTTTTAAAGCTTTGTTAAAGAAGTTATTTTATAGTACGTCTTATTTTGGTTGGTTAGAAAATCAGGTTGTTTACAGCTGAGATACTAAGAATAATATTAGCTATGACTGTTTGGTGTTAACTTTCTGTGTGTTTTTACTTATTTAGGTTCCTTCAGACTTCAGGACTSTGATCCAGAGGTTTTATCAGCTTCAGTCTGAGCGGTTAGAGACCTATCGACTCTTCGAAGAGTAAGACTGAATACCACTTTTTTATTGCTACTGTTGACTACTACTACAACTACTACTAGTTCTACTACTCTTACTACTATTACACACACACATTCATCAGCTAACCCATTTCCACCTTGAACTAAGTTTATTTTCTTACATCCATATTCTATTTATCCTGCTTTCAGGACGGTGTGGTGCAGCAAAAAAGAAAAACAAATCTGTTTTTTGCAAACCACATTCTGAAACTGTTGTGTGTACACATCTGCAGTATCTGAGTCTTGAAATTTTTTATGACTGAAATTAAAATTCAGAGTATGTTTTGCTTCACCCACATGTAACTGCTCCTACCATCAGTCAGCGCTTTGCTGTTACTCAGACATTCACGTGTCTCAAAGGCACAACACAAGTACAAACACTTGATTGCTTGTGTAGCATCCATGTGACTCTGTTATGTTCAATGGTGAGAGTAGCTTTAAGCAGAATCCATTCTTTTGCCTGAAGACAGCAGCGTACGGGAACACGGAGAACATCAGTTTGTACACAGAGTAAAATAAATGACCTGTCGTTGCTTTAGCTGCAGATTTCTTCGCAGAAAGAGTCGGGGATAAACTATGGTTAGAAAGTAACTTTACATGCGTAGTTACAAYGTTAATTATACCTATGACAATATAAAACTTGTTGGTGATGTCTGGACTGGTCTGAATTAMCAGTTGCAGGTATTAAATAGAATCATAAACATGTATGCACAATACTAATTATTCTAATTTATGTGAATAAAAACCTCCATATAATCCTGAAATGGACAGAGGTGGTGACTGAGTGTCAGAGTTTCTTTGCTTTGAACAAGACCATACGTTTTTTCTTGTTTTGATACTTTTCAAGAAAATCTCACACACACACACACACACACACACACACACACACACACACA